TTTTTGTATTTTTGGTAGAGATGGGGTTTTACCATGTTGCCCAGGCTGGTCTTGAACTCCTGGGCTCAAGTAATCCACCTGCCTTGGCCTCCCAAAGTGCTGGAACTACAGGCATGAGCCACCGTGCCCAGCCACATTTTTAACAAGATTGTGCTACACATACCATATTAATACCTCACCAGCTCTCTTATCAAAAATGTATGGACTTTCTTTTACATCAGTACAAAGATACCATTCTTAATGACTAGAGGTTTCCATTGTATGGATGTTTCATAATTTACTCCCTTATTGATAATTTGGATTTTTTTCCAATTTGTATTGAATTCCCATACTTTTCTTGAGATGGGGAAATGAGGTGTCACTATGTTGCCCATGGTGGACTCCTGGGCTCCAGTGATCCTCCTGCCTCAGCCTCCTGAGTAGCTAGGACTACCGGCATGTAACACCACGCCTCCTGACTTCTACACTTTTTCTAATTTGACTGTTCAGACTTTTTAAGAGAGAAGAATAGAAAACAAGCTTATGGTATATTTTAGGTTAGTAATAAAAATATTGAGCAGTATTAATATACGAGGCACAGTCTAAGCGGTCCACATGTATTAAGTTGCCGTATGATGATAGTTGTGAAAATAACTTACTGGGATCACTGGTGTGTGCCATTGCACCTGGCTGTTAGTTAACATTGGGTATAACCACTGTCTTTAAGACTCTGACAGTACTTTGGGGAAAACCCTGATGAATATGCAAACATGGGGTATAGGTTTGGCCAGCTTTGGTGCACTACATCCTTGTTCTTGAGTTTTGCTCTAAACCGGCAGGAGCTCTCTAATTCTCAGAAGTTTGTATGTTGATACCTTGTGTTGTAGCTTTCTATTAGGGAAACTACAATCATACACGAAAGGAAAGAGAAGAATATAATAAATCCCTGTGTGCCCGTCACTTCAAAAATTATCAACCCATGACCTTTGGTGCAGAAAAATTAATGGTGCCAAAAAAAGACAGGACACTAACAAATGTTCACAGGTTCAATTCCATCCAAAGACGATTCATTGAGCCTCTGCCAAGGCCAGGCAAATAAGGATAGGTAGGATGTATTTTCAGAACAACCATGCATGGGGAGCGTCATGATGACTTTTGTTTTTACAGATGAGGAAACTGGGGCCTGGGGAAGTCAAATAATTTGCCCAAGTTACAGTGGTGGTTTGTGGCATAGCTCAGAATCTGACATTCTGACTCTAGAAGCCACATGTGTAAGCACTAACATTAATGTCCTCCACATAGGTTCTTTCAGGAAAATTGTTTTCTTTTTTACTGACCAAAGTTAGTGCCGAAATACCTCAGTATGGTTTCTCTCTAGTTGAGAACCAGTGCTTGCTGTTGCTCAGATGTAATCTTTCTTCCTAGATACCCAAGTCTTTACTCATGGTAAACCTGCTTGGAGTCCCTTCCCCTCCTTTGTATTTTCTACTCCTTGGTTGCTTACCTGAAAGGTTACCTTTTGGGAAACCTTCCCTGCAACCCAGATGTACTCTTTCCCATCTCATCGCATCCCATCTGTCCTTATTTGCCTGGTGCTGGTTGATGCTCAAAGAATAATCCTTGGATGAAATTGAACCTGTGAACATTTGTTAGTGACCTGTCGGGTTTTTCTGCACCATTAATTTTGCCTTTGATATTCTTCAGGGTGTTCCCCAATGTACTGCCAGAGTCTTAAAGACAGTAGTTATACCCAGTCTTAACTAACAGAAAGCTGGGCACAGTGGCACATGCCTGTAATCCCAGCTGCTTGGGAGACTTAGGCAGGAGGATCACTTGAGCCCAGGAGTTCACGGCTAGGCTGGTCAACATAGCAAGCCCCTGTCTCAAAACAACAGCAATAACAAAAAACCTAAAAAGAATAATTTTCAATATAATACATGATCCGTTTTTTAAAAACATATCAGGAATTCAAAGTGCAGTCAGGTATGAACAGACTAAATTCTTTTCTATGCTCAAATAGGAAAAACGGCTGCAATCTACCTGGATTAGAATCTTTGTGTCTGGGAGGCCGAGGCGGGTGGATCACAAGGTCAAGAGATCGAGACCATCCTGGTCAACATGGTGAAACCCCGTCTCCACTAAAAATACAAAACATTAGCTGGGCATGGTGGCGCGTGCCTGTAATCCCAGCTACTCAGGAGGCTGAGGCAGGAGAATTGCCTGAACCCAGGCACTCCAGCCTGGGTAACAAGAGTGAAACTCCGTCTCAAAAAAAAAAAAAAAAAAAAAAAAAAGAATCTTTGTGTCTGCTTGCGAAGCATGGGGGATAGGTTTGGCCAGCTTTGGTGCACAGGGGGATACATTGTTACTGTGAATGTATAAGTATTATGCTTCTACTTGGTTAATGTCTGGTTTTATGATACTTCTCTGTGGTAGTAGAGCAAACCCTCTCCCGTGCCAATACAGTCTGTTTTCTTTCAGGTGCTTCTTAACCTACCAGTCCTGCCAGAGTTTGATATATAGAAGGTGTTTGCTCCATGACAGCATTGCCCGGCATCCAGCTCCAGAAGGTGAATGCTTTCGCTTACTTGGGAGGGTGGGTGGCTGGATGGAGCATGCTGGCAGAGGGCCAGCACCCCAGAATAACAGTTCAAGTCACACTTTACACTTCTTGGTGTTGTGCTGTCAGGGATGGGGGATGGGGAGCAGGCTCCTGTTGCTCTTTACGGTGTTACTGTGAAGCCACAGCTAACTAAAACATGGCCATTGGAATGTCATATTGAAGTGAATATTCATTTAGCGTGTGATTTAAGTGAGTCTGCAGTTGCTGTTCTGTCACTGCAAGCAAATTATTCATTCCAAAAAATGTCAGAGCTTGTTTTAGTAGATGACATAGATAGATTATATTTGAATGTAAACTCTGTAAATGATACTGTATACGCAGACAACACTGTTGAACCAGTAACAGGATATTCACTTGGAGCCATTCTAGTAGCCATGATGGGTTTTTGCCTAGTTGATCTATATTCTCTTTCCTGATAGCTCTGATGTCATCTGTTTCTGAGATAACTACCTGGAAATAAGACTGTAAGGTGGGCAAGGAATTAGTGATTTAATAATGATGCGAATGTCAGATTTTGTCCTGACGTTAATATCACACTCTAACCAAGTGAGACAACTAGATACAAAATACACAATTGTATACGTACTTTTGGGGGAATATTCTGGTTTCAGCTGAAACAGAGCATCCTGTATAAAACTACATCCTTATTCTTGAGTTTTGTTCTAAACCGGCAGGAGCTCTCTAATTCCCAGAAGTTTGCATGTTGATACCTTGTGTTGTGTTGTAGCTTTCTATTAGGGAAACTACAATCATACACAAAAGGAAAGAGAAGAATGTAATAAATCCCTGTGTGCCCGTCACTTAACTTCAAAAATTATCAACCCATGACCTTTTCTGTTTCATATGTAGTTCCCTTACCCACCTCCCTTCTCTTGATGGATTATTTTGAAATACATTCTTGGGAACTTTTAAATTGTTAACTGCAATTGGTAATTGATATGCTGCCTAGGCAGGAAATCTGGAGAAGATTGGAACTTTAAAAATCACGCCCATCAACTTTGAGTCTAGCCATGTATAGCTTTTAGGAAGAATGAGAAGCTACTGAATCTAAGAAGAGCATTGGAGCAGAGCTTTTCACAGGTGAAAGAGGAGGAGGATTTGAGCAATGTTGCCACATTTTTATTTCGCAAGGGCATAGCATTTTTTTTTAATTCCGATTACTGTTACTTTATGAGAATATTTTAACATTAACAGTGTATGAAGAACACATTCTCAGAATATAGTCCTTTCTTTAAATTGAATAAATTCGGCTTTATGAACACATTATCCTTACTTTCCTGTTTCATCACACTTAACTTTGAGAACCACAAGTTTAGTCCACCTTCATTTGGAATGTTGAAAATCCAAGCCCAAAGCAGTGAAGTGCTTTGTCCAGGGATGCGCAGCTGGTTCATTGCAGTCAGGACCAGAATACCCATCTCTCACCACTACAGCCCACTGTCCTCCCTTCTGACTGCCTTTTCCAAAGCTCATGGTAGATACCACTTGTCTTCCTTTTGCAGATCCCGACTGGATTAAGAGATTACTGCAAAGCCCCTGCCCTTTCTGTGACTCTCCTGTCTTCTAAATAATCAGTGACGGAAAGATGGAAGGACATAATGAACTCTGCCATAGGAAACTTCAGCCTGAAGAGAAGGATGTGCTGGAGGAAGCCTGACCCTCATGAGTGGAGAGAAGCCCTTGGTGACTGTGAAGAGCCCCTGCAGCTCATTTCTGAAGGGCACTCTCATCTCCAGGGACTCAAGGATGTCCTTTGAAATGGCTGAACTCAGAGAGTTGGAGTCGTTTTGAGATGAGCATTAGCCCCGGCTTTGTGACCAATGAGGAACATTTATTTTTAAATATCTTGACGGACACAACTTGAACACAACGTCCCGTCATTTCTAGGAACAGAATGGTCTCTTCTAGAGAGTTTGGATAAGGACCTTGCTGGGTTGAGTTAGGTTTTAATCTTTGCTTTGGTCTGGAATTGCCTTCTGGCTCCAGAACTTAAATTGCTTGGTCCATGGCATCTGATGTACCAACAGAGATTAAAAGTATATAAAGCAATGCATGGGCAGGTGTTTTGTTCTCGGAAAATAGCTGCCGATATGCATCCTTCCATTCTTGTTTTTCATGCATATGAAAAACATTTTTTTAAAACTCTATATTCTTAGTTGAAGCCAAGACTAAAGTTTACTGTGTCAAATGATCTGGTGACTATTATAATTAATAATTGTGACATTTTTCATTCTCTCCTGTGTCATCAGGTTTCCTGACCCAACTCCTTAACCTGTATAAAGATGTCAAATACTGGAGTTCACCCACATCACAGCCCTGCTTCAGACTTAACTGTGGTAGCCTAGATGAGCTGTTTGTACACAGAGGAAAAAACATACCTTCCTCTTTTAGTAATAATTACAACTTTTAGTATTTTTAATGGTGACATTTCTGGATGTTTCATTTAGTATCCAGGGGTCTATCTAGAGACTTCTAGAGAGGGACAGCTCAGAAGTGAGACCCTTGAGCTCTGGTGCTGTAAGCTGTACAGTTCAGCTGAACAGAGCCTAGGAATTTCTTTCCTCTGCACAGTTCCTTGATATATAGAATCCAGGTTCTGCCCCCCGACCCCACCCCCACCCCCAGTGGTCTGTTAAGATGTCCCAGACATCAATTTGATTGATCACGCAATCAAAACCTAAAAGATTCTGGAATTAGTGTTCTTGGATTCTGAAACGTCCGGCGGGGGTTGGTGCTAATCAACAGGACTGCAGTGTACACACCTTGAAATGGTACATTTTTCTGGAAAGTTGGATAGGACATGTAAAATATGAGATTCTTATTTCTTGCAATCTTTTTTGTCTTTAATATAATTCCCTGCTTTTATTTTGTATCCTTAATGAAAGACATTTTGTCCACACTTCTTTAGAAATAACATTGAGGCCAGGCACCTGTAATCCCAGCACTTTGGGAGGCTGAGGCGGACAGGTCACTTGAGGCTGGGAGTTCAAGACCAGGTTGGGCAATGTGGCGAAATACTAAAAATACAAGTTAGCCTGGCATGTTGGCGCATGCTTGTAATCCCAGCTACTGAGGAGCTGAGGCAGGAGAATCACTTGAACCCAGGAGGCAGAAACTGCACTCAGCCGAGATGGTACCACTGCACTACAGCCTGGGCAAAGCTGGAGATTCTGCCTCAAAAAAAAGGAAACGCTGACACGTGGATGACACGGCAACCTCCCCTCCAACCCCCCCATTGACAAGTAGTGGAGACAAGGGCCCTTGGAGGCACTTCCAAACAGTCTGCTCTAAAATGTCTTCTGTTTCTATTCAAATTGCTGTTTTGTCTCCTATGTTGAATCATGTATTTGCTATTATCTTCTGCTTATTTTTCTCCTTTTGGTAATTTCAAGAAGACTGTTTATTCACTATTGATTTTCAAGAAAGAAACTAAGCAGCATTGAAATCATGAGTAAAAATTCAGAACATTGTATGAAGTCATTTGTGTCTGCAGCTGTTTTTTTCTCTTTACAATAAATAAGAGTAAAAATTAAGATCATGTCAAAAAATTATTGCAGTTTTAATCATTATGGCATAGTTTCACTCCCGCCCCAATTAGAATCAGTAGGGAATTGTTCTTACTGGGGAATTTTGGGCTGCTGTCATTTAAAACTTAGGTTAAGTTTTTATTTAAAGCAGTTGTGTGTTTTTGAGAAAATTTAACTAGTGGGAGTAACTACAGAGTATCTCCCAAATTGTTATTGTATGTTTCTATGGGAGTAAGCATGGCAACAGTTATTCTAGAATGTGAACTCTCACTGCAAGGACTTGACCCAGTGGCATTGTTAAGACCCTAAAATCTAGCCACACCTGCCTCTGCCAAGTTTCCACACACCCAGTTGGAAGGCCTTTCCCTGCCCTTGTGTCTGTCCCTCACCAGTGGAAGTGAAGCTACAGAGCTAGGGAAACAAGATTTTGAGTTAATGTCACCCTTACAAATAAATAGTGCTTCTGAATTTCTCTGAGGGTCAGCATACCTGATGGTAGTGTGTTGCTCAGGGCAACCTTGGGGAAATGAGAATGGCACCAGAGGTTTTCTAATTGCCTCCTTTAAAATTTATATCCTCTATAAAAGTTGCCTGATCTATGTGGTAGATTTCAAGTTGATTTCAGCTGTGAAATCAACTTGACAGTTGTAACTCAGTTAAAGTTTCCCAGAAGTAACTTTAGGGAACTACAGAAAGTGAAAGTGCTATTGCTGCACTGCATTTAAAGTACAGGAGCAAGGATTCTATACAATTAGACCCTTTAAGCTACAACATTGTTGCATTTTGGGAGTCTGATATGTATCACATTCTCTCTGCCTGGGGTTAAATAGTGCCTATTATTTTAGATAAGAAATTGATACCTTGTTATGCTGGATATTCATTCTGAAATCCTTGTGTGTCCACCAGGCAGACTTCAAGCAATCTCTACCTACTATTATATCTGCCAAAACTACCAATTATTTTTCAATGTCAGAAGTTATTAGAACCATTGGCAAAGCTCATGGTTAAATGTGACATTTTTCTGCTTTTCCCTCTAAGAAGTTTTTGAATGTGAATGTTGAAGTATGCAGGTTGGACCTGTTAGCAAGTTTAACACGTTAATTAGGTTAAAAGAATGTTAAAGGGCAATAATTAAATATTTCAATTATTTTGTAATTATAATGGTATCAAATAAGATGCAAAAGATGTTGATGCTTATTGGTGCTTGCTAAGAGAATGACAATACTGGTTTTCTGAGCATCTGTTCCCTGCAGCAGTTACACTGCCTGAGTTTGGTGAATTGCTGCAATTCCTGGAATTGAATCAGGAATTAGTGTCACTGGTTGACTGGCACAGGATCTGTCCATCCTTTCTGCTCCTGACCGACCTCTCTTGGTTTCCCTTCCTTCAGTTCTCTCTGCTTCAGGACACAGAGCTAACAGATTACATGTTGGAAAGAAGAGAAATGGATTAATGATGATGTTTCTAAAAGCTAAATTGTGTAGTGAGTCTCAGCTCCTAGAAGAAGCTGTTAGTAGTATTTCTTTCTAAAGGTAATAGTATTAATTGTATCTGAGTTTCTTCAAAACTTAACTATAATTTCCTTGTCAAGGTTATCAGTAGCTCTTAGTTTGACTTCGGGCTGAGGGATGTGAAATTTTAGCTCCTTCCCACCACCTGTTTCCCCTCACGCCCACCCACAGCCAATATTCTTCATAAGCAAAAATTATGGTGAAGCTAAGCTGAATGTGTTATATTCAAAGTAAGTACAGAGAGCAAATAGGCAGACAAATACAGGAATGTCTTTACAATTAGCCCACCATAGTCTCTGCATGGTTTTCATAATTCATTATGACGTATCTTTATACTCTTTCACTGCTATTCTGTGTGTTGGAGTTTAGCAAATCAGTGAGACTAGGGAGTGTCTTAAGAATGGAACATTTGCCCTCAATCCTGGGGCATTCCAAATGCCTCTAAAGGATCTAATATAATGAATTGTTTTTATTTTTGCCATTAGCGCAAGTATCAACTGGCAGCGTCAAACAGCTTTAGGCTATGTCTCAAGTCTCTCAGAGTTATACTTAGGACTGCTCTTTCTTGAAGTAAAAGAAGTTTTTGCAGTAAAGATCTGCTTCATTTCTGCTAACATGGTATTTGCCGTTCAACCTAATAGAGAGCATGTGAAATGCAACCGTCTTTAGTTGGAATTAAGCCAAACTTCAAGAATACAGACTTGCTTCTAGTTAAAATAGTATAGAATCACTATCCTGATGAAGCAGTGGGGTTTTTCAGAAGATTGTACACTCATTTCCATGGCACAGATAGAAATCATTATCAGGACTTGTTAGCCAGTCCATGCCTCGTTGATAGGACGCACCTGCCGTCTGCATAGATGATTTGTTTTAAGATGGTGCTATTTTTGAAAACTTGATGTGGAAATAAATTTAACAGAGGAATAGTTATTTGTAAATCTGTCTTAGAAAGAGGTTAATTCTTTTGGTATATGAATATTTCCTCCAACCCCTTTAACTAATTACGTGTTTCCACTTACTGCATTTTCTGAGTTATAACTATACTCTAGGGCCGAGACCTAGTGTAAAATCTGGGTCCTAATCAGTGAGTTGTTTAGATCACTATTATTCGCTTTGTCAACATTCTTTCTGGGCTTGAGAAGAGTTGACAGAAGTGAAAGATTATACTCTCACGCTGAAATGATGAAAGCATAGCCTAAGTGAAATACTGAAGTGGGCTGGGTAGAATTAAACTTTAGAACTCTAAATCATGCTTATTTTTAAAGTAAAAAGTTGCCTCACTGTCATGAAATCCTGTTACTTTAATTTAAAAAAAATCCCATAAAATGGTCAAATTGGACAATGTAAGAGATAATGATGGCTTTGAGGCATTTCATACTTTAGCCATTTACATTTGGCTAACAGACTGGTAAGGTTTAGCGTTCTCTCCACTAATGGAAAATTAAATGCAAAATGTTCTAAGAATTATGTTGTTTTCAAGGCTATGACCCAGATTTGTCCTTTGATGTATGAAAGTGAATATAAAACTTGTTTATACAGAAATAAGACTATGTAGAAAAGTAAGTCTGTGTTGTGTATAGTGATACATGTTTTATGTTTACCCAATGCCTATACTAAATTTTGTGCTTGGTTTTGAATTATATATGTGTTTACAAGTTTAATAACAACACATTTTGCTTGGAATACTCCCCAATCCAGAAAAAATGGTGACTTCTCTCCATTGTATATATATGTGCATGGTGTTCATTATTAGATTGTAAGCTCCTCAAGGGCAGGAACTGTTTTATCTTTGTTGTTCCTGCAGCACCTAATGTAAAGTGCCTTGCGTAGGGTAGGTGCTCATGACGTGTAGAATGAGTGAGTAACGTCCTGCCTCATCAGGATGAAATGTGGTTCACTTCCACCGTGTTCAACACGACAAAGCCACTAACACCAGAAGAGGGCAGAGCTCTTTCTCGGGTTTGAACTGGCTTCTTTTTGGGGTTGAACCAGACCATTCCACATCCTTAGCACTACTTAACCTTTCTTTTCCTGAAGATTTCATCAGTGTCCTGTGTTTTTATCTAATATTAGAGCTGAGGTTCCTAGGAAAAGTTTGAAGTGGGGAAGATTATGAAGAAAATAAAATGGAACTTTGGGGAGGTTGCTTTGTCAGTATATGGCCCTGTGGGGTAATTGTATTTTAGTTTTTACTTGTTAAAAGGGTAACAGAACCTCTGTTTCTTTACCAAGTTGCTGATTGGCCATTTCTCCAATGGATGAACTACCACTAGTTTTAGCTCTTTCTCATTTTGGATCCCCTCAATTGCTTACATGATTCTAGTACTTAGAGTCTAATAAAGTTGCTGTGAATATCTAGTGCTGTACATAATGGCAGTTTTGTAAATGTGAAATAACCTTGAATATGTTGTGGTTTGTATACAGAGCCATTAGTATTGTTATTTTGGCCATTTTTTATTCAAAATAAATAACATAATTATTTGTATACTGTGTGTCTGTTTTATGGAGTTCCCATGGTTTATAGCAAAGCTTGGAAACCTCTTTAAGCCTGAGCACCCCCAACAAAGTTAAGTCATGCCCAGGCATGGGCAGACAAGGAGGAAAGAGCTCTGTGAGGGAAATGTTAGGGAACTGGCCACCAGCAATTACCTCAGAACCAAGTCAGTAAGTCTTAGGTTGTTTATTCCAGAAAAAGTTTGAGGAGTGTAAGGCGAAGTAACAGAGGTTCAGCAGTATGTTAGGCCACATGGTCTTAACAATGTCAATTACATAGTATTTGCTGAGGAAAGTGAAAACTAGGATCTCTAAGCATCATGTATGTGTGAAAAGATGAGAATATACCAACATTTTTTGCAGATAGTCATCTGTGCTTATGGTAGACGCAGTGTCTGTATCAATGGGTTTATCCATGTGCATCAGAATGACCTGGAGAATTTGTTAAAACAGTGGGTGGGATGAACCCCACCCCTAGAATTTCTGATTCAGTAGATCCGGGATAGAGCCTGTGAACCGCTATTTCTAATGCATTCGTGGTTGGTGTTCATATGCTGATCTGGGATCTGTGTTGTGAATACTGTTGGTCCACAAATGAACTCCAACACTGTTCCTGCCTTGCTTCTGTGGTGCCCACCAACAGTTCACATGGATTATTGGTTTGTACCAATTGTTTATGTACCAGTCTCACCTGAGATTCTCACCATTACTACACTAGTTACTCTTAACTTTATTAAGACAAGAGTTTTAATTTTATGATTTCCTAAGGAGGACAAGAGGAGTAGACTGCTGTAGTGAACCCTTTCTCTTTTGTAAGTCCAGCTTATTTCACTCTCTCTCTAAAATTCATCTTCAGATGAAATGAAGCTAGTCCTTCCATCCACTGGGGAACTTGAGCTTAATTCAGCCCATCACTTGAAGTTTACTGAGTAAGAAACTTCAAAAAAGGCCAAAGTATTTGTGCTACTCCTATTCTGAGAGAATTTAAATGAAATACTGA